TTTATTAGTATACTTATATTTAAGACTCATATTTAAAGACCTAATTTTTATCTTCGAACTAAAAAACTTAGATTTGTATTATTTTAATTCAAGGTTTTATATTTCTTGCTTCAATTAAATGCTTTATAAGAAAACCGTTTATTTTTTTTAAAGCTTATATAAAAGAACATAAATATTACAAACTGTTGTTTACGAATGTACTTTTCCAACATTCTCTATATATTATAATCAGTGACTTGACCCTATTTATTGTATTGTATTCTAAGTATTCATAAAAAGATTGTAATAAGTTAGAAAATGCAGAAATAATATTATCAATTATATTTCTATGAAGAAATTAAGTGTATTAATATTTTTTCCAGATCGAAAGCAATAGCTTACGCGTATTTTTTATTAAAGTAATGTTTGTTTATAGTACTCCAGCCTTTTAACTATAAAATATGAATACGTCTGCATTTTAAACTCTATAAGCTTTCAAAAATATGTTTTAGGTACTCCTTTATTGTGATATAACCAATAATAAAAAGTAATCGTAGGAATATATTTCTAAAACTAAAACTATAGTTTTCTACAAAACCCTTAATTAAAATTGTAATTTACTAGTGACTCACCCTCGTTCCGCTCGGATTCGTCCCTAGATACGTTTTAATGTTTAGATTTCTCAGAGATGAGATATTTTCTCGCAGTAAAAAACAACCTATGTGTTGACACGGATAGCCTATTTCTCTATATACCAAATATATTTGGCATATATCCATATACCAAATTTTATCAAAATCTGTCCAGTGGTTTTCTTGTGATGCAGTCAGAGACATATAGACAAAAAATCTGAAAAGTATAGATTCGGCATCTGTATCGATAATTATGACTATTTCAATAAGATTAAAAAAAAAATTTATTGTACAGATTCGACTCGGTTACAATTTTATTAGGTACTAGCATTGCCTGCGACTCCGCCCGCGTTCAGATGACCAAAAACCAAATTCTTAGGTTTTACATATTGGTATACTCTTACATTGCAGTTTTTGTATTTTTTCTCAGAAATGAGATATTTTCCCGCGGTAAAAAGTATCCTATATGTTGACCCGGATAAGCAGCTATCACCATACCAAATATCAAAATCCATCCAGAGGTTTTTCCGTGATGCGGTAACAGACAGACAAAAATACTAAAAACTATAGATTCGGCCTCTGTATCGATAATTATATCTATTTCAATAAGATTTCCAAAAAAATATTTAATGTACAGATTCGGCTTTGTTGGAATTTTATTATATGTAAAGATATGTATAAATTATGTATTTTGCTACATAAGTGCACAGAATAACCGATTTGTTTATAAGCGACGTCTTATTATGTATGAACAAACCCAATTTTCCTTATTAACTTCGCCGCAGTTTAGCAAAAAATTGTTTAGAAAGCATTTTACCTAGATTAAATATATATATACCTAATTAAACTTCTTAAAAAGTAAAATTGCTGCCAATTTTCTAAAATATAAAAACCTTCCATTTTAGTATATTTTTTTGAAATATTATGTTAAGCTAAAATTATTAAAAATTTATATTATTAAAAAAACGAATATGGCGCTATTCTATCTTAAACGTATTTATTATTACTAGCAATAGTATGCACGCTTTTTTTTCCTTAATTAAAAAAAGTTATAATATTAACAAAAATAGTAATAAAATATGTACCTTTAAAATATAAAAAAGTATATCTACTTTTCTCCTAACCCAGTGTTTTCTGTTATTTTTTTAATTTCTTTCTTCTGCTACAAGATTCTATGTACATCTCTATCATATCTAACTTAGCCCAGGAAGCTGTATCAGAAAAAAAAAAACGATTTCAGGATTAAATATATCTAGTGCTAAAATATTAACTAAAATATTAACTAAAAAAGTGCTACAAAGTTAACTAAATAACAAATATTTGTTATTTAGTTAACTTTAAACACTAATATAGTGTTTCTACGTAGTATAAAGGGTCCTCTCAGCGTCCAGTCGATGAATAGACGCTCTAAATAATCTTAGCCATGCAATTTTGATATACTTTTATGTAACTAGGTTAGATGGTGGCCTAATTTTTATATAACCGAAGTTAACGTGGAGTGATAGCGTGTGTTACTTACCTTGTTACGGTGAACATCACAAATTCGATTAGCACGCAGTGAATTAGTTGGCGTATACAATATATAGTCACACTACTCGATAAATTGTATTATATTTGTTAGTTTTACATGCTGGAATGGCTGAACGGATTTGGATGAAATTTAGTACACAGACTATGTCCCGAAGTTAAGATACTGTTAGTAATAACATTTTTTTAAAAGGGGCGATGTCTATATGTGATAGATATAAGTATAAACAAAAAAGCCATTTAGAGACTTGCCCGAGCGAAGCGAAGCTAACTCACTAGTGTTATAAAAAAAAGATATACCATTCGTTGATTAATGGATTGATGATTAAAACATTAAATCTCTGGAAACACTCAAGTTAGCAATAATGAAAAATCATGATTTGGTTTAAGCATACTTTGAGTGTGGCAGTGGTAGCCCAGTGGTAACGCGCTCGCTTGGGAAACCGAGTGAAGCGGGTTATAATCCTGGGTCTCGCACCTCTGATATTTTCATGTGCGAATCATTTCCAACATGATTACCATTTGCCTTAACGGTGAAGGAAAACATAGTGAGGAAACCTGCATGTCTGAGAGAACCTAGCAAGTTTTCAAAAAACATGTGAAGTCCGCCAACCCGCACTTGGCCAGCGAGGTGGACTATGGCATGATCCCCCTCGTACTGAAGGGAGGCCCACCCCCAGCAGTGGGACGATAAAAAGGGCTGAATACAATACTTTGAGTGATGTATTAGCGTGCTTAGAAACAATTTTCTAATATTTTATTTATTAAATTCCGTTAAACATTTCATTAAATTTTTCGACCGAAAGAGGTCAGCTAGTATAAATACAAAAGTACTCTCTCGCTCTTTTAAAGGAGTGAGTGTAGATAAAAAGTTACATTAAACATGTGTGTGTTGTAGCCGTATGTACGATGAAGCGTACGACAAAATTTTAACATATAGGGTCATAGTAAGTTAGATGCAATGCGAAAAGCAATCGAAAGTATTCCAAACAGCAATTCAAACTTCAAAATTCTCTTCTGAGAAGTTTGAATTTATATATTGTATATTACTGTAGATTCTATAACAAGTCACACTAAAGTATTTAACTACATCATTAGTCATACATATACATTACACATACATTGCCAGCTTATAATTTGATGGGTGAACAATTAATATGCTATATAGTGCAATTAATATGAATTATAGTGTTATATTTCTACGCCATCTCGTCATTAGTTTTATTATATATAATTAAATAACAATTGTATAACCAAGACGAAAAATGTTGTATCCAAGAATCGAACCCGTAGCAGATAATTTAATTTAGACATGATTACTCTACTACGTTTACTTTAATGTTTATTTTAAAAATATTATAAGAGATTTTGCGTTTCTTTCTACTTTCCACTTATTTTCAAACCAACCCACATCACGTTTCCTAGTAAACCGCCCAAGCTCTAATTAGGATTATCTAAGAGATTCCATTTAGCCCTCCTCCGCATTTCTCCCATAATAGCCAGCTATACGTACATACGTACATATTATTATATATATTTAATAACATTTCAATAGAAGAGTATATTATATTCTTTCATGAAGCAGTTTTGTTATTTACTAATTAATTTATTCAAACTCAAAAACATTCAAATACAGTTATTAACAGATTTTTAATATAGAACCGAATTTTGGACTGATTGACTATTTTGAATTACTTGTACGATGCCTTACACAGGAATCGAACTAAGAACGCAATCTTTGAGCAATGCTACAAATTGCCCTTCAGTAGATCAGCACATAATTCATTTATGACCACATAACAAAATTACGTAGAGCTGGAACTCACGTGGTTGGTGGAGATATTAACTAAGTTTCTATTGATTTTCCAATAACAGAACGTATTAGTTTTCTGATGGATTTCTCAGTTAGGAATTATATGATAACCGCTGTAATATATTTTGTTGTCTAATTGATATTTCATTAAGTATAGTGCCAAGTGACTGGTTTAAGTAGTCCCTGATCATAAAGTCCAGGGTTTGAGTTACATTTCGAGTAAAAGAGTCATTTCTGTCGAAGAAATTCTCCAAAGCAGTATAGAGTTTGCATAGCATCTTGATCTCTCTGCGATCTTGTTTTTTTGCCTTTCCTTCTATGAAATTTTCGTAACAGAAAGCTAATCTGTAGATCAGTATAATTGGGATTCGCTGTCCATTACAAAATTTGATAAGTAGGTTATTATTATTGTGCTTAAAGTTGGTTTAGAACAGAGATTTGGATCCAAAGGGGTATTTTTTTATGAATAACTATTTAAAGAGCAAATATTTTGTGTAGAAACAAAAACCATGTTTTTTAAAACTAAGTCTAATAATTATGTAATTGATAATGGGAAAAATAAAACAAAAAATATTCTTAATCATTATAATTAATGAATAGTTTAAAATGCATCGTTCGGCACTCAGAGGTACCATTTACTTGTCTTTATCTAAACATACATTTAGAATACCATTATTTTTAATTTCGTTAGTTAAATTAATAAATAATACAATATTATACCCGTTTTTTAACCAAAATAACGCAGTCGCTGTAGACAATCGTACAATAGTTTTATAGTAAAGGAATTCAGCGACTGCAAGGCACAAAGTTAAATTATTCAATCTTTTTAAAATATATAATTGGACTGAAATATTCAAAACAGAATAGGTCTATTAAAATAAGTTCATAATTACAGCCATAAAAAGACATTGACAAATTTATTAACATCGACCGATAAAAAACACTGGAACTATACAATGATAAGCATACGAATCTAATTTCACTATAAATTTACATACCGACTAGAATCTACGTACACTTAGAAAATCTACATAATTACAAAGTTGCTAAGAGTCTAAGCTTTTAGAGTTTTTCAGAGATCGAGCGGTTGGTGTGGGTTTGATTTTCTTGGTTTTGTTGTCAGGTAAAGTGTCAGGAATCCCTGATTGGCTGAAAACAGACGCTTTTGAATGCGCACTATTTCCTGGCGATACCCCACTGTCTGTGCTTACGGATGCCGGACTTGGACTATCACTTGTATTATTGCACACAGTAAGCTCTTGTCCTACAGTAACTATTTGTCCAATCTGCTTCTGCCTCACTAAATTTATACTTTGGCACACGTTCTTTACTTCTTCGTTACTTTCTTTTTTGTGATACCTTGTTAAAGTTCCAGCGGAACCAGCTGAATTTCTATACATAGGCATAAATTGTGATTGGGGATAGTATTGCATCTCATGTCCTTGACTAAGCCATGGACCCATCGTGGAAACAACTGGAGGCATGGGCCACATTGGCATTTGGACCATGTGTGATCCATCTAGTGGATTGAAGGGAGGCATCGACATTGGTCTCACTACTCCTACAGGAGTCGGTGGCCTTATGCCAAATTGAGGATTTTCTTCATACATTCTAGGAGTTGGGATTTGAGAGTAGTCCACGTTTGGAAATACTGTATGCGGTCCTCGTTGAAGGTATGTGAACATTTGTTGCTGAGCTTGTTTCATAGCCACATATTGCTGTAAGTTTATAGCAGTTTGTTGTCTTTGTTGAGCCAAGTCTGGGTTAGTATTGGCTGCGTTACCGTGAATATAGTAAATGTTAGATTGAGTGTTCATCGGACTTGGGGCTGGACCCTGTGTCTGTCTCTGTGATGTGACGTACTTATTATCTACATTATTTTGAGGATCTTGATATTCTTCAGGGGGAGCTATGAATTTAGGAGGCGAAGGAGGTGTTACTTGTTGAGACATTGGATAACTTATAATTTGCGCTATATATGGCTGAGCTTTAGCTGAATGGGCAGGACTGTGCGTTTGGAATGTTGGGTTATATGTTATTTGAGATACGTCTTGACCAGTGTGGACTGATTGACAAGTTGTATCTGATTCTTTTTGGCTTGATCTTTGGTTTTCGTTAACTTCATTCTTTTTAGGTTTTTGATAAGGCGCAACTTTTGGATTACTTTTCCAGTTAGCACCTGCACTCTGTGGTCTTTTGACAGGTGATTTCGTAGGATCGTGCCAGTTGTCACCGTTAATTTGCCTGGATTCTGGGGGGTGGTGAGATTGGGCACTATGTGATCTTCTAGGAGGTGGAGACATCCCTTCTGGGACGTGCTGTTGTCTATAACACCTCCTAACAGTTCCGGGACTATTTTGACGTTCTGGTGGTTGAGGAATAGGCCTTCCCAAGCGTCTTCTCGCTGGCGTGGGCGGACTGGGCTGTGATTGAAAGGACTGTGTGGATTGTGACGCAGAGCGCCATTGTTCAATTAATTTCTTTCGTCGTTCTTTTTCTAACCGTACTTCCGTTTCGCTTGATGAATCATAGTCTTTACCCTGAATAGGAATAAAATATTATATGTGAATATTATATGTTAATTGTAAATATCATATGTTACAGCGCTTTATTGTATTTAAAATTTATTTAATTATTTGTTACCTTTTCAATTTTCTCGTCCAGCATTTTGAAGAAGTCTTGCATACTAGCCGACACCTCACTGTAATGATAAAAATGATTATAAGAGCAATTCTTTAATGAGCTTAGAATTGAATATCCAAACAAATAATTAAAGGTAATATTTATAAATGACTAGCAATCTTCCCTTGCCTGGGTGCATAACGATATATGTATATTGTATATATATATGTTAATCAATCGATAACAAGAAAGACGACCTTCTTTAGATAAGTTATTATCGACAATCCATATCATCTCATCAATATGAAATTAAAAAATATATGAGAATGATTTCTCCAGGGAATTTAACGCTTTGATATATCATATGAAAAGGCTCATTTAATTTCTTTATTAGCTTTTTTAATTATAGAATATGTTTATTTAAGCCCACTGATGACAGTTCATATAATCTTTTTATGTACCACAAAAATACATATAAAAATAGAACACAGATACGTGTATAAAGGATGACTTATCTCTTTAAGTGATATCTACCAGAAACCCTCGAGCGTGAGAAAAAAAATGAGGTAATTTAATGTTGTATTGAATTCATGAACACATACACAGTGGGTTGATGCGCGGTGAGTGGCAGGATATGCTTTCCATGTTCAGTGTCTTCTTCCGTTTCGTCAGTTTGACCGGCTCCAGCACTGCCTTCTTCTTCATCAGCTTCTTTATCTGCTGCGCCTGAAATAAGATAATATTGTTAAAGTTTTATATCTTTTTATAATAAGCAGACTTTTTTTCATAATAAACATGCTTCAAAATCAATTTCCATATCAAAAGTCTTAACCCCATTTAACAATTTTAGGGGATGAGTTTAAAGACATCGTGAGGGGTTTTGCTTTTGTTATATGAGGAAATCTTGTGTGAAATTTCTATAGCCAGCGGTTTCGACTATGCATTTTTATAAGATGGTTTTAGAGTTTTACTAAGTATGTAGGTACGTACTTAAAATAAATATGTAGATATTTACCTAATCGTAGATATATGCATACTATACATTGTAACTTGTGTAAAACCTCCAGGTAAATTTCTAAGAAATTAATTTAATTTCTAAGAAATCTATTGTTAACTGTAACACCGGCGTGTCCGCGGTCGTGGAGGGAGTAACAATAATTTACTAATAGAGAATATATTTTAAACTAATATTATTATTATTTCAGATGTATTGGAACAACACGACAACATAACATTTCGTCTTTATACTCGTTTTGTTATGTTGTTCGAAGGAAGAACATGTTTTCGCCTTCGATATACCTAAAAATGTGTCGTAAGGGAGAAGGCTGTTGGCTTACAAAAAATATTATTACGCTGAAATAATAACTGCATTCACAATTTTATCCTTATTTCTGTCAATGTTGCGTGTACAATACTTCTAATGGATTTTTGATTTTAGGGGCCTCTTGTTCAAGGCAAATTAGAGTATTATTTTGGTCTCTCCCGTGACCATTGCTGCAAAGCATTCGAAACGTCGGAAACCAAAAATCAAAATAAATTGGCGAAAAAATCCGAAAAGCTAGTATTATATTATATTACTTATAATTATTTTTTATTATTATTATACTATTATACATTATTAATAGTAGGTATTATTAGTAATAATGTATAATTCAGCCCTTTTTTAACGTCCTACTGCTGGGCACGGGCCTCGTTTCAACTTAACTCGGTTTTCCAAGCGAGCGCGTTACCACTAGGCTACCGCTGCCTAGTATAATATTAATAGGCTATAAAATAAATTTAAATTGTTTGGTCGGTCTGGAAGATCCGCAGTTAGAGATTAACGCGATTAAACAAACAAATAACCTCATCAGCTTTATAATATTAGTATTTAGTATATACATAATACTCAGAGTTCGCCAAAATATTTATTATGTCAATGTCAAAGATAAAAATAGTAGCATAATTTTCTGTTTATGCTACTATTCATTTTGCCATATATATCGTTTATTTCCTTCAAAGAATAAAAAAATAAAAACCGACTTCCAGACACTAAAATGTAAGAAATAACTAAACGGAGGTTTTCAATTAGAAAAGATACCTAATAAAGATACTTCGAAAGAGACTTCGAAAATATTTGATTAGGTAGGTAATAGGTATCTATTTTAAATGAAAACCCCCGTTTAGTTATTTTTTACATTTTAGTCCTGGAAGTCGGTTTTTTTTAAGTTTTTATTTTTCCATTTTTAGTGTAGACGTAATAACAGGTAATTTGTAAGAAGAAAATTTTTTAATAACATATTCGATTAAACAATTTATTTAAAAAAATAATTTATTATTGATTTTTTTAAAAACCGCTCGACCAATATCGATAAAATTTATATGTGACCACCTGGGGAGTATAATACCCTTTGAAACAAAAAAAATCCAAATCGGTTCAGGCGTCTTCGAGTAATCGGTGAACATACACAAAAAAAAAAGATTTCGACGAATTGACAACCTCTTTCTTTTTGGAAGTCGGTTAAAAATGTGAAAGTGGGTTTGTGTGTTTATTTGTTTGTTTGTCCTTCTTTCACTTCAAAACATAGAGACGGACGTGATTTTTTGTGTGCAGATAGTTGGAGGGCTGGACGATGGCTGAAGTGACATAGGCTACTTTTTACCGCGGGAGATTATCTCTTTCATAAGAGGGTAAAACAGGGGATGAAAGTTTGTATGAAATCTATCTTTTTGGGAGTTTTTGTAGTTTAGCGCGGGCGAAGCTGCGGGTTCCGCTAGTCATATTTTAAAGTGAAGCCTTTACGTACCTGACAAATCGCGAATAAAATGTGGCATATTTGTGGGAATTGGAACCAAGCCTCAACAGTTTCAACGAGTTTCTTCATTAAAGTGCTAAAGTTATAACGATAAATTCCGTTTTGCTTTGAGTTTAAATCCTGAGCCGTAAGTCATGTATGTACAAATATTTTAATTATTGCTGTAAAGATATTCAATTGTCGGACTAATATAAATAAATGAGTAAATAATAAATATGTTGGCACATTAACACACAACACCATCTATGTAGTTTCCGAGGTTTGTGTTATGGATACCAGATAGTTGATACACTACACATAACATGAATATAACTTTAAATACATACATATTACAAATATATACACCCATTACTAGAGTACAAACATTCGTGCTCATCACACAATTTAATGATGACATCACATCACACAAATGAATGCTCGCAGCGGGACTCGAACCCACGACCGCTGGCACAGGAAGTACAACTACAAACTGAGCCAAACGTGTCGTCAAATATGTGGTGTTACTTCTCACACTGAAGCGGCTGTATGGATTTGATTGTAAAGACCTTCATGAAGAACATAGTCTAGGATAGGACCCTATCCTAAGGTACCTAGATGCAAACGAGTAAAGCGAGGATAAAACGCTAGTTTATCTATTGTTTTGATTTATATCTCATTCTCCATTTATTTCTCATTTATTGGAATATTTTGATACAGAAAATTGAATTTGCACAATTTTCATTACGTGAGCGTTTTTATAAGCTTCATGTCAAGTGGCCAGAATATGATCTAACCTACATTTTTTCGTTTTCTATTTGTGTTATTATTTAAGATATCGAACTTGTCTCAAGAGGTATTCTTGAAATATATAATCGTTTGCGACGGCTGTTGGTAAAGTTTATTTTACAGATAATTATATTGTTATGATTCTGTATTTTTGTATTGTTATGAAATAAACTAACTAACATTTCGATTAAATAAGAATTACGTTCCTTATTATCTGTCAGTTAGGTACTCGTATATAAAATATCACGATATTTTCAAAAGCTTCACTTTAATAAAGAAGCGTGCAATAGCTTTAACATGTTCATGAAAAATTCTGAAAGCAGTGACCCCAATTTGATTGAATTTCAAATAAGCAAGATGCCAGTGACCTAGCCTGTGTTTGTTAAATGTACATATTGTTTATATTTCTAGTAATAAATAAATAAATATGTTGGGTCTTATTTCCCCTCCATCTTTCTTTATGAAAGTATAGATTATAATATAAACATTGTCAATCAGATATGTACTCTTCAATTACTTCTTTATTACGTTTTAACGAACAAGCACGATTTACAACCAATTAATAAAAAGGATAGAATGGATAGAAAGACTAGAAAGAGAAGGATAGAAAGGATACTAAAAAGACTTATTATTAAGGTAAATTATTTCATGCAATAAGTACAAAACGATTTCAAACCAGCTGTTATTGTTTGAAGCACTGTTTAAATGCAGGGTGCGTGCGTACTGCAGTGTAGAATTTTATTGTGTGCTATATTTGGCTAAAGACAGAGTTACTAAACAATGAGTAAGATATGCCTTAAGTGGATCTATTCTAATTTTCCAGTATGTTCTAATTTATTCTTAACTAGCAGTACCCGCAGTTTCGCCCATATTCAAATTCAGTGTCACCCGCTGGGCTAATCCGAAGATTGCCTGATTTCATCAAAATCGCTCCAGCCGTTTTGGACTTCATAAGAAACATACATACATACACACATTGATTTTATATAAATAGATTTAACATTTACTAACTACATGTCCAGAAGTGTCTCTTGCAATTTTTAAATACTTACATGAGAATTCACAACATCTTTTCAGTTCAGTACCATTGACATTTTCACAGAGTATGTATTTCTATCTAAAAATTAAAATACAAGAAATATTTTTTAAACGTTAAGTACATGATGGCACGGAACCTTTGATGTGCGAATGAGACTCGCACTTGTTTATTATTATTAGTTAGCGAAAATTGATAAGAATATACTAAAATTAGGAAATCTTTATCGAAGTAATTTAAAAAAAGCCTTATCAATGTCGTTAGTGACTGTGTTTTTTACGATTTACTCGTAAATTTTCGATACCATCTCGTATTATTATTTACGGCCGCCTCGCAGTTATGGCCTATAAGGCTATAGGGGGTGACTTGAGTAACCATGTTTCAAAGTTTCAAGGGAAGGTTTCACTGATGCTGTGACTGGTTTGCGACAGGTACGTACTATCTTCACCCCCCGATAAGGTAATTTAATCTAAGATTTACTTTTCATTTATTTTTTGGCTTGATTTTTCGTGATTCTTTTTATATCTATGTATAAATAGGCAAATACAAAACAATTTAATACCTTTTTCTTTACTGTTTATCAACCAATTTTTGTTTTTTGCAGCTATGACGAGGTTTAGTTTTACTAATAAGCAACTTGGAAACACTTAGTTTTTAAATATAAATAATATATATATATATATATATATATATATAATTTATATATATATATATATATATATATATATATATATATATATATATATATAGGGAAATGCAAAATAAATAAATAAAATACTATTTACTTATTTATTTATCTATTTACGTAAAGGCAAAAAATTTTTAGTTTCACTTCATATGAGAATTTGAACAATATTATTGCTTATATTGAAGCGAGGCACAAAGCTCAAGGCTTAGTCCCCGGATGCGTGCCATTCTTCCTCACTTTAGAAATACTGAATAATTCATACTTCACATTCGCTGTTATCTCAGGAATTGGAACAATTTTTCATTAGACGAATTCGTTCTCTTGGCACTTTTATTTAATATCTGAGTTGTTGATACCAACCGTTTATTTCAACTAGTGTTTGCCCACTGATTGTAACTCGACCATAATCATTTTGGAAAATTTGAGGAAAATATACATAAAC